CTCAGGGCCCAGATTCTTGGTGGTATCGCTGGCCAGCAGAAACAGTTATGACAAGAACATGGGCATCGCGGATAACCGAAAGGCCCTGTCTCTACACCATCTTATTCTGGAGCCTACAGCTTTTGCTGTTATCTACTTCCCAGAGGCCTCACCCCCACCCGTCCTGGAGCTTTCAAGGCAGTGGGTCATGTCAGTGTGTAAACTCTCTGGAGAAGATGGGTGTTGGGCCTTTTTGCTTGCCGCACCATGGGAGAAAGGACAGGCAGATTGCTAGGCGTCCCGCTTGAGTCACTGTGAATGGCAGAGTGAGCCTGTAACAGTCCAGGCCTCTAACTCTCGCCCTGTAGCTCGGCTTCCAATGCCTTCCTTGCTCAATTTTTCTCACGGCTATAGCAAACACCTGAGGGAACAATTTAAAGGGAGGATGGGTTTATTTTGGCTCATGATGTCACAGAGGTCAGTGTCGTGGATCTGAATGCTTCTCCAGCTCACGGCACAGTTGCGGGAGTCTGTAGAGCCCTCAGGAGGCGAAGCCTAGCTTCTGGGAGCAGCTCACCAGGAACCAGCCTCTGAAGGCTATAAGTCCCCTGTTCTAGCATCGCCCCATCTCTTGGCCCAGCACACCGTGAACAGCTGGTGCTTCACACTCCCAATGCCATGAGATGAGTTTCCCTTCCGTGATAGACCCCGATTAAGCTTTCTTCTTCATTGTCCCTGCCAGGCCACAGCAATGCGAATGTAACAAACAAATTCAGCCACATTGCTATGGGCTGTGGTAAGGCAGAACAGCCTGGCAGCAAGTCTGTGGCAAAGCAAAGTTGTTCACCTCGCTGCAGCCGGGAAGCAGAGAGGGAAGGGGAGGGGCCAGGATGCATCTTTTGGGTCCTGCATCCAGTGCCTGGCTTTCTTCCAGGTACGCTCCACTCCCCAATTCTTCCCACCTCTCAGGATTCAGACACTTCCCCAAGTCCCATCAGCTAGCAACAAGACCTGTAATCCAGAGGCTTGTGGGAGATGCTTCATACTCAAACATAACTCTGCCTTCAGAGTATCTCCTCTTGGAGGTTTGGTTTTCCAGAAATTGAACATGCATCTGTTGCAGAGTTTTCTTGTCCTGCCAGTCCCACAGCTTCAGCCCCAAATGAACACGCAGAGACAATACATTGGCCAATGACTAGGGCTTCTTATTGGCTAGCTCTGTCTTAATTATTAACCCATTTCTATAAATCTGTGTATTTCCACATGGTCTTGGCTTACCGGAGAATGCCTGGACCTGTTACTCCTATGGCAACTACATGTTATCTCTTTCCGGTCTCTCTCTGCCTACCTTTCCCAGAACTCTCCTCATCTCCAAGCCCCGCCTGTCTTCCTGCCTCTACTGGCCTAACAGTGTTTTATTCATCAACCGTTAAGAGGAACACAGATACGGAAGGACATTCCCCCATCATGTGTCCACGTTATTCTTTCTCAGGAAAGATGTTCCTTTGCCCAGGACTCTGCTCACTGATCTTATGGCAAGTCCCAGGGTTCTGCAAGGAAAGTCTAGAACATCACACAGCCACCTGAGAGAGCAGTGGACCTGAATGCTGTAATGGGCGGGTGTTGAATATCGAGGCCCTTTGCCCAAGGCCACAGAGCAAACGCTCAGCAAGGCCAGGCACGGAGATTGCCAGTCCTGTGCCTCTCATTTTGTGGCAGACTGTGTCCTTGTTCTTCGGCTTCTTGGTCAGTAGAGGTCAGGGGATAAAGCAGCAGTTGGTTCGTGTTGGTCACAGCTGTTTCTTGGCTGTGCCTGCCTCTTCCCCCGAGCCAGCAGCCCTGTCTGCCTGCTGGCCAGAGGGCCTTGTTATGTGAGCCAGAGGCTCTCCTCTGTTCATTAGAACGAGGTGGAAGGGGTCCTTCCCACCCCAGGAGAGAACTTGCCAGGGCAGGCTGAGAGCTGCAGGGTTGGATTTACTCTGCACGTCCAGGGATTGGGAAATGAATCACTTTTTAAAAAGGCAGGCTTGTTGCTAGTCTATTCCATTTTCCTCTGAGGATGGGGAAGAAAATGCCTGCTTCCGGAGCTTGGAGCAGGGTGGGTATGTGCTCAGGTATCTGGCCTCTGGTTGCGTGCAGCCTACCTTGTGCTTCTGTGAATAAAGTTTTATTGGAAGATGGATGATGGCCCGGCCCACTTTTGCACTCTTATGGTAGAGCTCTCTTCCCAGTGACCATCTGATCCCCAGCACCTAAGGTAAATTTTCCCTGACCCCTGGCCTAGCAGAATAATCCTTCCGGGGCTGTCTACACCCAGGCAGAATGCCTTTGTGTGTCTCATGAGAGATTTGCCTTTCTCAAAGCATCTCCTTCTGAGGAAGCCAAAGGGAGCCCCAAAAGGAGAGGGGGCGCAGGGTGTGGGTGCAGGCAGGTCAGCCCCCACCCTGCTCTGCACTGGGGCCCCTAGTCTATACTACTTAGAACCTTGGTGGTCCTAGAATGCCTGCCCTGTCTCAGCTCCATGAGGACGTCCTGCCAGGCTTGGTGAGAGGCTCTGGCCTCAGATCCAGCCCTGTTTGTCCCTTATTCTAGCTGACCCAATCTGAAGGTAGCAGTAGGAGCCATCTCAGACTAGATGCAGTGGTTTTCTTGGGGTACCTAAGGCAATGTATCATTCCGTTACCGTCCTCGCGCCCTGGGGCCATGACTTCCCTGGTGCCCCCAGAGCTGAATGAAGCTGAGAGCCAGGTCCATGCTAACCACATCATGGAAAGTGTTCCCGGCCATGGTGGCTAGCCTTTAATAGGCACTGGTAATTACTAGGCATTATGTTGGCTCCTGGTATCACCTCATTTAGTCATCCAGCAGCCAAGAAGGTAAGCATATCACTTGATCTTGAATTTTACAAGCTCAAGGATAGGCTCTGAGGGGCCAGAGAGATGGCTGAGTGGCTAAGGGCACTGGCTGCTGCTCCAGAGGACCCAGGTGTGACTCCTAGCACCCACATGGCAGCTCTTGTAACTCCAGTTTCAGGATGTCCGACAGCTCTCCTGGCCTACTCAGACACCAGGGATGCAAGTGATGTGCAAACATATGTGCAAACCAATCACTCATATACAGAGAATAAAACTAAAATAAACTCATGGAAAAAGAGGTTTGTTTTAAAAAGAAAGACTAGGCTCCAAAAGATTAAGTAACTTCCCTACAGGGGAGGAGCCTGGGTTTGTACCCAGGTCTCAGACCCCAGAGACTGCTCTAGAACTCTTGAGTTACAGTAAAATTTGAAACAGCAGCTTCCCAGTTCTCCAGAACAGCGGGGCGGGGCGCGGGGACCTGGGGCATACACAGTGCAGGTTTACTGAGCAAATATGTAATATGTTTGAAATGGGGGCATCTAGGTGGTTGCCTGATCAGGGTCCTTACAAGAGATGGGCATTGTACTGGCTGTGTAGCCTTGAGTAAGTGGCTTAATCTTTCTGGTTCAGTCTGTCCGTTGTAGGTTTGTCCCAGAGAGTAACTAAAGAACCCTTATGTGGAGTATACGGCACAAAGCTTAGTAGACGACAAATGCTGGGTCAATGTTGACTGCTGTTAGCTGCTATGAAGAGGCAGCTCCCCTGGCCAGTGCTAGGTAGCCCTCTCATATTTGCAGCCCAGCACTATGACCAACTGTCTCCTTGTGACTGTCTCCTGCAGCCGCTGTGCCCTGCCCTTGGGGTTACCTCCAGGCATGGTTCCATTCCATCTCATGGAATCCTGGACCAGGTATTTCCCATATGAAAAACGCCTCCTTAACAGTTTGTGTGCCCACCTCCTGAGTCCATCATGAGAGCAAGTGGTCCACTATGGGCACACAGTGCCTATGGCGACCTCTGGCGTTCATGGTGACTTTTGATATTCCAGGAATGTTTGAATCAGGACTGGCCTGGTGGCTCAGTCGGTAAAAGTGCTTGCTTTGGAAACCTGGCAACCCAATCAAACCCTGGAACACATGTAAAAGTGGAGAGAATTCATTCCCTAACGTTGTCCCCCTGTGGCATGCACAAAGAACGCACACGCGTGTACACACACACACACACACACACACACACACACACTAGAAATGCTCACATCTGTGAACAGGTGAAGAGTTTCTCCTGCGTCATAGTGCTGATGGCACCATAGCCCATAATGACTTGTTCTTCCATAGCACTTTGGGTTTATCCTCCCTCTTGGCCCAGATGGGATACCTTGTCTGAGCCTGGAATAAAGCCCTGCACCACTAAAGGTCCATCTCCTAGGTCCAGTGTGAAATGAAGGATTTGTGGGGCAATGGTTCTCAACCTGTGGGTTATGACCCACAGGCAGTTGAACCTAAGACCAGTGGAAAACACAGCATTTACATTACAATGAATAATGGTAGCAAAATTAGTTAGGAAGTAGCAACGAAAATAATTTTACCACACGAGGAAGTGCTTTAAAGAGCGGTGGCGTTAGGAAGATTGGGGAGCAGCGTGGTAGGAGGTCCCTGCTCTCTGCATCATCCTCCGTTGGTGGGTGTTGGTGGGTGCATCCGTGGCAAGAGCTGAACAAGACTTCAAGGCAGAGTGGCATCGTAAAACTTGAAATCTACCCTGACATTTGAGGTCCTGGGTCTGGTCTGCTGAGTCCGCTGGCCTTTGGCAATCCTTGGAGCCACCAGGCCCCATGGGACCAGCCTCCCACATGGCTGCAGAGGCAGAACCAGGCTGCCTCCTCCAGCCCACACTAAAGCCGAATCCCGTTGCAGGGAGGGCCTGGGTCAGAAGTCTGCTTCAGAGATTCCTGTGTTTCAACAGACACCTCATTATCCCAGCCAGCCTCTGTAATCATACAGGCCCACGCCCAGCAGTCATCCTAGGCCAGGAAATCACTCCCTCCCCTCCCCCGCCTTCCGCCCAGGGAACCCTGAACCTCAGTGTCTGCAGCCGCTCTTCAGTGGCCCTCTTGCCTGCCTAACGGTTTCTCTCCTGCCTCTCCTTGCTCTCTCGGGGACTCGGAAGTGTGGCTAACCAGCTGGACTGAGTCTCCCAAGAAGGACGTGACAGGTACTGCCTTGCATGCATACGTGTGAACATGCGAGTCCCAGCATGTGTGCCTAGTTTCTGGTGCCCGCAGGTTTCCTTGCGAATGCCTCCCTTGTTCTGCATGTGGGCTTTCCCACCCCCTGGGCCTTCTGCCTGCTGGAAGAACCCTTTATAGTTCTCGGATGGGATGAGCCACTGGGCCTTGTAGAGTGGTGATCAAGTAGAAGAGTGTGCGCCTGGCCCAGTGCCTGTGGGTTTGAATCCCAGCTCAGCTGTGCCCTGCCTGTGCTGCCCTGGGCGGGAGGGGGTGGGGCGGTGTGCAAAACCTTCCCAAAGGCATGGAATGCCACCTCAGGGCATCTCTGTTCTAGGGCTGCTGTCTTTGGTGTTATCACATTGACCATCCCAGGGGGAGTAGCCAAAGATGAGCCATCTCTAATCTGAAGCAGGGAGTCCCTGACACCTTCCAGAGATCTCTCAGGGGAGCTAGAGATCTGGAGAACAGGAGGACCCTTTCTGCCTGTGACAGGGTGGATCACAGCCCCAGATCCAGAAGTCCAGAACTTGGAATTGCCCCAAGCCAAGCTGCCTGGCTGAGGTGCCTTTCGAGGCCTGGGGATTCAGCCTTTATCTGGTCCATCTGGGTAGAGGGTCAGGGTCCTGATTATAGCCTTGTGCCAAAACCCGTGAACAGCAGAGCTACAGCGCTTGGAATAAATGGTGGGAATGGGATGGCGTTTCCAGAAGCATCCTCAGCAGAGTCCCTTTCGTTCTCAGGGCGAGTATTCAGGCTGAGGCCCATGGCAGGAGGCTGGAGGGAGAAGAGGTCTTGGGCCAGTTGGAGGGTTAAAGCTCAGACTTCATCCTCCCCTGCCCCACCCCCTTCCCCGCTGTTGGCAGGGAGTGTTGAGCATCCTGGGAGAGAGGCCAGGAGAGAAGGCAGTGGGGGAGGTCCCCCTTCCCTCCCTTCGTCCTTACGGTGTCCCTGTGACGCCAGCCTGGGCCTGAGCTAATCATTGGGCCCCTGTCCCTTTTTCCCCTCAGCTCATGCCAATGAGCCGGAGCCCACTTGGCCCACAGCAATACATTCTAGTCACCAAATGTATAGCTCAGAGGCCAGAGGCCCAGTGCAGCCTGGGAAGAGCCAGTGGGGCTTGGTGGGATGTCCAGGGCTGAGCGTGTAGTGGGGAACCTGAGGCTGTGCCCGCACAGGGCCTGGCTTCTCAAGATGAGTCCAGCTCTGTGGAGCCGGAGGCCCAAGGGAGGTCCATCCTCCCAGCCCTCACCCTAGAGTGGCAGGGACAGCCAGCTCAGAGTCCAAGGCTAGAGTCTCTCCCAGCCTAGGTTTCCCTCCTGGAATGTTGGGGGAATTCTGTCAAATAAGAAATGCAGAGGTGGTGGGCTGACGCCAGAGATCCTAATAGCTAGGGGGTCCTGGGGCAGCTTAGCCTGGTGTCCAACCCATTGTGGCCTGGGAGGCTCTGAGCTGACCCTCTCCAGCTGCTACACCATGTGCCTGGGGGCGGGTCCAAGAGAGGCGTATTGCAGGGAAGTAGCATTAGGCTTCCCTCTCCAGCCTCCTGGTGCAGCAGCAGTGCTGCAGGGATTTTGCTATGAGCTGCCTCTGGCGGTGAGGTCCTTAGCTCCTCCCATGTCTCCCATACTCTTCTTGCTAAACAGCTGTCTGTACTTTACTCGGGCTTTAGGCCCTGTGACTTCAGAGCATTCGCAGAACAGCCCCTGCGGTACTGTTCCTGTTTGCAGATGAGGAAGCTAAACTTGGGAAGGTCAAGCGTCCTCCCCAAGGTCAAAGGGCAAGCAAGGGCAAGGCTGAACTGGACCCTGATTCCGTTTTTTTGCCTTTTGAATGCCAGGCAGTGGTTGTGTCTGGGTCGTGTGTCAGAGGTGACTAGTCTGAAGCATGTGGTCTGCTTGGAGAACTATTCCCAGCTACAAACCCAGGAGAGAGAGTGTGTGCATGCGCGTGCACATGCACTCACACGTCATAGTGCTGAAGGGGCCTCCTACAGAGGCCGAAATGCTTGGGAACGGTTGAGAGCAGTAGAGGGGGAGATGTGGAGCAGGGGGCAGGGCCTTAAGACATAGTGGGTGCCCAGCACATGTGCTGAGTCATGAATGTTCCATGGAATGGGGAGGAATAGCAGGGAACCAGGGAACCAGGGTGGAAAATCACAGGAAAGATTGGACTTGGGTTTGCCTTTTGTCCCGAAAGTATCAGGAGCCATTGAAGGCATGGGAGCTGGGGCATGACTTGGCAAAGACCTGGTTTAGAAGCTTAAGTTGATAATGAACACCCCAACATCCGGTGCAGATGGTAAAGGGAGACTTACGGTGTGAGGCTAGGGCAGACACCCCCAGGACACTAGCAGGCCCAGCCAAGGACCCTGATAAGGCGGAGGACTCCAGCTCGCCTGCGAAGCCCCATCCTAACCCAGGACGCAGAGCTTTCTAGAAGGGGTCCACCCCTATGCACTCTGCCAAAGGCTTCTTGTCTGAGCACAAGCCCCCCCCCCCATCCCGACTCCTCCAGACCCCAGTTTTCCAGGCCTTGCCTGCCTTGGAGAGGATCCAGAGCTGCTTCTATAGATGACATCACCGCCCACCATCAAGCAGTTTCTCTTCTGGATACCTGCTCCTAGTGCCGGTTGCGACACCCCAAGAAGCAGGCGCCAGAGAGAGGAGCTGGGAGCCTGCCTGTGTTGGAGGTGGAGAGGAGACAGGGAGAATCCCACAGCTAGTGCAGCTGTCTCCAGGAAGAGTGGCAGCCTGCCTGTGCTGTGCGACTGGAGGATGGTCCCTTCACTGTGCCTTCCTGATTCCCAGAATGCTAGCCCAGATTGCCAAGCCTTAGAGGCCCCAGACAGTTTTCCAGGCAGACTTCGGATGAGGGCTGTGGGTGTGTAGATTTTCCTCTGCTTTGAAATCTTGTTTCGGAGTCTTCTTGGCTTGGATCGAAATGACCTGCTATCTGTCCCCTCTCTGGCACCTCATCCTTGGCCTCAGCTGTTGTCATCTGGCCACAAGCCCCGAGCTGCTTGCTTCTTATTGTCTCAGCCTCACACGTCCTTTCCCCCAGTCCCAGTTCAGTCACTTACTGTCCCCGTTTCAGAGGTAAGGCCCTCCCTGGTTTCCCAGATGGGCATAGCAGGGGCCACACCATCCGTCTGGAAGTACTTTCATTTTACACTCAGTGCCTGCCACTAGTGGACGTATGTGCTGGTCAGCAGAGGTGACAGCGTGAGTCTCTAAGGACCCCTAACTCCAGTGTTACCAGGTGTGCCAGGTGTCTGTGGATGCAGGGAGGCAGGGTCCTTCCTAGACACTAAGCGTCAATGGCCATGTAGGTTCATGTGCTTGGTGGCATGGGGCGTGGGTTTAGTCCCAGCTGGGTGACCTTAGGGAATCTGCTTCCCCTACACGTTCAGTTTACATGTGTGTAACGTGTGGAAGGTTGCTGCAAGGACCAGGCATGATGCTGAGTATGGGACTGAGCCTGAGGGGCCCTGATGGGGACTTGCATGCAGTTTGGCATGCTCAGGGCTTAGGCACTCCTACCAGCACCCCCCCCCCACCGTCTTGTATTCCCCTCTCCCATGTTTCACATCCAAAGTCCCTCCAGTGGCTGGTCCTTTTTTGGTTTGTGCTACACAGGCACTGATGTCCCCCAGGGCACAGTGGGAGGCTGTCACCCGTGCCCAGTGTGTTGCTAGCTGGTGCAGAAGCTGGTGACATTTGCGTACAGAGGCCAGGCTGCCCAGCTGTTGGTTGTGTTTCTGCCTGACATACAATTCAGGCTTTTCAGGGGCTCCCTGGGGCTGTGCATGTGTGCACTCCTGGGGCACACCAAGCTTCCGAGTCTCCAAAGGGCCTCTCTGGGCTGCAAAGCCCACACCATGTGGGGGAAAAGTCTTTCTCTTCCCAGGAGAAGAAACTTGGTTGACTCTCCCAGAGTTCTCTGGCCACAGACCCTGACAGCACCTTCTTTACAAAGGACCCAGAGGTCTAAGCTGTGCCTCTCACTTTTGGCTGCATGTCTGAACCGTGGGACAGGATGGGGTATGCAAAATGACTCATGCCTAGGCCCCACCCACTGAAGCCAGCCGTCCAAAGCCAAAGAGTTAAGGGGTTTAAAAGCTCCTGGGATGGTCTACATTCCTAAGTGGAGGATCAGTGTGTCTGAAGGACAGTGTATGGAAATCAATCAGAGTTCTGTAATTAGAAGAGGGACGGACTCAAACCTCCGAAAAGACCGTGAGTGGTCCAACTGTCTCTGTATGAGCTGTGGGAACTGCGTGTGTGCCTCTTGTCTCTCAGAGCCTCTCATTAATCTGGGAATTAAAACGGGGTGTCTCGAGGTGACCTGAAGCCATACCTGCCTGGCATGCATGTGAGTCAAAGTCAGTCGTGTAGAGGGAATGTGTCTGAGGGTGAGGCACACGGGCGACTGGAACACCGCACTATGGCCAGGCCAGTGGTGAGAGACATTGGGAGGGCATAGAATTTGCTTTGGTTTTGAAACAGGGGTCTTGACTGGCAACCCAAGCTGACCTTGAACTCCTGATTCTCCTGCCTCGGCCACTAGTGTGGGAATTACAGGCTGGCTGACAAACATGTGGTATAAGAACTGTACTAGAATTCCCTTGGGGGTGGAGAGGTCTGGGAGAGCTTCCTGAAAGAGGTGATTAGTCATTTTCTGGCTTGTGGATTCGTTGAATGCTAGTCCCGCATCCTGTCTTTGAGAGTGTCCAAGGTAACAGCTCAAGAGCAGAATCTGACAGCGCTCCAGCCACACACCAGGCTGAGATGGGCACCCAGCCTGTCCACTGTCCAGTGTGGTGCTAGTTTAATGAATGTCACACCGGTCCGGTAGACAAACAGGACAAAGAACTGGCTTGCTCCTGGAAGCCGGGCTCACCTGCCCTCCCTCCCATGCACTCCAACCTTTGACTCTGAGGCTCTTGAAACTGCCCCGTGCTTCAAGGCCAGGGGGACCAGTCACCCTCTGCTGGTTGAGATGGCGGCAGCAAGGGCCGGGAAGGCTCCCCTGGAAAGCCTAAGGCTGCTGTCTGCCTGGCCCTCTGAGAGCCAGGAGGACAGGAATGGAGCCGAACTTGAGGAAAAGTTGGCGGGGTGGGGGAGATGGGGGGTGGGCCCGGCTCGCCAGCACTGGCTCTGGGACTTTCTTCTTGGGTTTCAAGTAAACAGTCTGGGCCCTCCTCCCATCCCCTGCCTCCACCCCTAGCTCCTCATTCGACGGGTCTCATGTGTTTCTATTTAAGGGTTGCGAGCAGCCCTAGTGATTGGCGGCCTCAAACCCTCTTGACTCTTTGCTGGACCTAGGCTGTGGAGAAGTTCTCTCCCTCTCCCTCCTGAGGGGATCCCTGTTGCCTTTTCTCCCTGGGTTTACAGGCTTGGGGTAGAGGCAGCCGGCCTCCTGGGCCTCCCCCTCGCCTCTCCTCTTTCTTTCCCCTGTGCTCTGGTCTCAGCCTTCATGGGCCGCCCACTGTGCTCCCGTGGCCCCCTCTCACACCCCAGCCAGCCCAAGAGTCTGGAGAGCCCGGAGGCCCCAGGCCTCTCTGCAGACTCCCCCATGCCGGGCTGTGACTAACTTCACAGGCAGCAGCAGGCTTCCCCCTCAGTTTCCTTGTCTTCCATCTCTGCCTGTCTCTGCCTCTCTCCACCCCCGTCTCCTCCCCCCGTCCCCTGGCTCCCCATGTCCCCCGGTCCCCGCGGTGCAGCGGGCCGGTGTGGGGCCTTGCTATATGGCCTGTCCTCGGGGCCCAGCAAGCTTCCAGCCCTGGCTACGGGCTGCTCCTCGGTGCAGCGCTGGCGACCGAGCAGCCTCCCTCGAGGGCGATGGACAGAGGGCGCCCCGGACGCGGGGCCACGGCCGGCCGCTGGCTCACCGCATGCTTTCTGCCCTCGCCAGGTGCCGACACCAACGCCGAGCCCATGATCCTGGAACAGTACGTGGTGGTGTCCAACTATAAGAAACAAGAGAACTCGGAGCTGAGTCTCCAGGCCGGGGAGGTGGTCGATGTCATCGAGAAGAACGAAAGTGGTGAGTGCCTGGCCTTCAGCTGCCCACTCCTGGCTCCGGCCTGGCTCCTGGGCCCGGCTGGGGTTTTGTTCCTCTCCCCCTCCCCCAGCCTCTACAGCTATACGTTATTTCCATCTGGCAGGGAGGCCGAGGAGTCTGAAGTTCCCCTGTTGGTTTGGGCTGCAGGCCAGCAGTTTGCCTGGTGGTGAAAGAATGTCTCCCTGGCTTGAGGCTAATTAGCCAGCTTGTGTTAATGCAAGGCAAGGTGGCAGCAGAGACTTCCATGCCCTCTGAGGCCCCGAGGAGATAGTAGCTTTAGCTCTAGTGCCCAATGACAGCGTCGTCGTCCCCAGTTGAGCTGTGTGTCGGCATCCAGACAGAAGTGGGAGGACTCAGCCAGCTGGTGGAGAAGACAGGCCATGATATCACAATAGGTTCAAGAGTCCCCAGGCCCCTGGCTAGATGTCTGAGGAAGGGCCAGGCCTGCGGGAGGTTGGCTCATGACTGCACAGCGAGTGGGTAGTGACTGTCCCCCGCTGGGTTGGAAACTACCAGGACCTGGAAAGAGGGGCCCAAGCACTGGATAAAGCCAGGTCCTGGAGCCAGGAGGGTCCTGCAGCAGCCACTTTGTCATTGGGAACTGACCTATTGACCATACCCATGGCTTCCCAGGGTCTGCTGGTTCCAGGGTCCTTGCAGAGTAGACAAAAATCCCTTGGTGTCCTTGGCGAGAAAAGGCACAGCAGATGGAGAAAAGGAGGTCAAGTCTGTCAGTGCCATGCTGCAGCTCATGTGGCTCCTGAAGGGCCAGAAGGTTCTTGAAGCCACCGTATACCCCACCCCCCAAGCTTGCCCACAGCCAGCTTGAAAGTTACATCTGTGGCTTGAAAAGATTCAGAACCTTGTTTTGGTTTTAGTGTTGCTTTGCTGGGGGCAGGCCTTGTGCATAGGCGCACCCCTGGGTTGCGTTTTTGTAGGCTCTTCAAAAGGGAGGCCTGGCCATCTTTTCCCTTCCCTTCTCACATTTCGAAAGGAAAGCAGCCCAATGGGCCACTGAGCCCGTTCCGCAGATAGAATGATCGAGGCACAGAGAGCTGGAAGAGAAACAAGCACCCTGAACTTCTGAATGGTGATGCCTCTAGGTGGCTGCAGAGGAGCTAAAGGAAATCCCATGGGACATTCTAGGGGACAAAGCTCCCTAGCACAGGGCTGTGATGTGAGACCAGGCTGGGCTCCCCCTCCCGAGGCTGTCATCTCCATAGTCCTTCCCCTCCCTAAGAAGTCAGGCACTGTCCTTGTTCGTGGGTGGCTGGCAGCGACCCTGCACACATGACAGAACATGACCTGGTATCGGATCTTGATTCCAGGTGGCCACCACCCTGGTTTCCTTCCTGGGTAATTTTGCCATGTCATACTATTGGCCCCATTTCTCAGACCTCTACAGAAGCTGGCATTGTCTTGGGGGCTGGCTCTGGGAGCCCCAGAGCCCCAAGGCCCTGTAAAGGATCTTTAAGGACAGGATGAGAGGCATCAGGAGGAAAGTCTGTTCCTTTGGGAGCTTGCTCCCAGTAAAGGCAGGAGCCTGCTTTTGAATGCAAGGTCAGTTCTGTCAAGAAGTTCTCCCTTAGGGACTCATATGCTGCCACATGTACCCTGCCACACCGCCACCACTGTGCGGCCCAGGCAGCAGGAGGCCATTGGCCAGGATGACAGAAGAGTCCTGTCATCCCCCTCCCCCACTACATGATTCCAGGCCGAGTGTGGTGGTACATCTTTAATCCTAGCATTTAGGGGGCAGAGGTAGACACTGCCCGGAGTCTGAGGCCACCCAAGGCTAAACAGTAAGGCCCTGTCTCAAAAAATAATGAAATAGACTCCAGAGACTCATTCCCCTTTCCATCCGTATCTGTAACCCTTAGAATACATGGACTCTTGCCTAAGGGTGAGGAAGGAGAACTCAGAGGTGAGTCTGTGTTAGGCTTAGAAACAGTGTGGAGAGACCTGCTTGCCTGCACAGTTCCCTTGGCTGTAACGAGGCCTCAGCTTGTCACCGCCAGCCACCCCTGAGCAGCCCAGTTTTAGCGCAGAGACCGCCATGAGAGGGCTGGTGTCCTTAGATGCAGGATTCTGACTACTACCACATAGCTGGGTGTAACTCCGGTCCCCTTACTTCCCAGGCCTTACCTACCCCTTCTGTAACGCGGGTACCCTGTGGCTGCTAGAAGTGGGGGCTGCTTGGTGACTCAGCAGGGCCCTGGTGTCAGCTGAAGATCCTCGTTATTTGTGGCTTTTCTGCTGTCCTCGTGGTTTGTGGAGATAGCTACGTAGCTACACCTGTGTTCACAGATCTGACAGATGGCTAGGATGGACAACCAGCTTAACAGGATAAAGGGGAGAAGCTAGATGACCAGACTTCAGATCCTGGGAGGTAATCCTCTAGAAAAGAAGCTGGAGGCTGGACCCCATGTGGGAGTTGAGTGAGGGTGAGGCGTGTGCATCCTATGAGCTGGTTTTGGAAGGAGTGGTGAATGAGGCTTCAGAACGCTGGAACAAAGACCCAGTTGTGACGCCTTTGACCTGGGACATGGCGAGCGTGTTGCAACATTTGCACTGGCATTGTTGGGCAGCAGCCCCAGTGAGCCATCCCCCTCACTGGGCCTCACACTAGGTGCAGGCCTCTGCCTGTGTGCCCTTTTACATAGCTGGGAATCATTCAGATGGAGGGTCCACGGCCCAGTAACCTCTGGGTCTCTGCCTGTTTGTCAAAGGCCCCTTGTGACCTGGACTACAGCCACAGGATAATTGTACCAGTTTCGTGGAATAATCCTATGTGGTAGAAGGCACTTTAACCATCTTGTAGCTAAAGTAACAGACAAAGAGCTTGGGTAATTCTTAGAACCCAATGCCGAGGTCTCTCCTTCCCAGAAGGCCCCAGGGGAGGCTGAGATGCACTGATCTTGAGTGCTGAGTGGATAAAGTGTGTCGCTGGTAAGTGGATTAGAGACATGGACCAGTCAAGATGATCAGAATCTCCCTGGAACATCCTTGCTAAAAGATTTCCTTGGGATCCTGCTGGCATGTGTCAGAGGTAGTGCAGTATCAGTGAGTAAACTGAGGCTTTGAACGTGGAGGCAGGCGTCAGTTTATCTCAAGAAGGTGAGGTGATGTGCTCCCCACACTAGGGATGACCCATCTCAAGGAGCACATATATGGTCTGAAGTTTCACACACCTTTTTGATCAAACAGAAGGAGCCCATCCATGTAGAAAGACTCATCTTCTGCTGGTCAATAGGACCACACAGAGCAGAAAGATACAGCTTTGGTAGCTTACCATCCAGCAAGCCATGCCAAGGCCTGCAGTAGTCATTGTTTCTTTATGGAACCCCCTTGGCCCTTCCCCCTTGACCTCAGCAATGGCACCAGAAATACCTCTCTATAACACATTCTTGTGTGTCAAAGACCCGTATCAGCTCTCCCTTCTGGCAGGCATCGCTGGTGTGACATCAGCAGGCATCAGGGTTCTGGTTGCTGGTTTCTGTGTTGGATGAAGCTGCTTACAGCTTTCCAGGGTTGTTTCCTTCTAAGACCGCAGCCAGGGCAGGGAGTGTGGAGATGAGTCATCAGAATTTCTCCTGCCTCAGCTTCTCTCCTGTGAGCCTTTTATTTCCTGGCATGACACTCTGAGGGTTCTGATCCTTCCTTGGAAACAAAGGATTTTGTTCCTCTTGTCGATCCACTCACTTTCCCAGTGAGAAAACCAAACTTCACCCTCCAAATCCACTCCTTCAGTACAACTGACCTGTGACTGAAGGATGGAAATTCCTTTAACTTTTTCAAGAGACTGTTGAAAGACTACAGGGGAATCTCGCTGAAGCCAAGAGTGAAGAGTGAATCCCAGCCTTGGGGAGGCTGGGACTGGGAAACCTGACTCTTTCCTTTCTTGGCTCTGTGTCTGCCTTCCCCACACTCTGTGTGTGTGTGTGTGTGTGTGTGTGTGTGTGTGAGAGAGAGAGAGAGAGAGAGAGAGAGAGAGAGAGAGCGCACATGGTATGGTATTCATGTGGTGGTCAGAGGACCAGTTTTCAGAGCTGTTTTTTCTCATTTCACTGGGAACCCTGGGAATCAGGGGTTAGACTCAAGTGGTGCAGCCTGTGGAACAAACACTTTAATTTATTCTTGTCAGTAGGAAGATAGGCTTTAAAGAAGAGAGCTGTTTGGATAAAGGGTACCCCAGAACATGGGTCTTGGCAACCATTTACTTGTCAGGAGTCTATGTATGTAAGCAGAGAGGGCCAGGAATCTAGAATTCAAGTAAGGAAAAAGGGAGGAAAGGAAGAAGAGCGAGGGAGAGGAGAGGAGGGAGGGAGGGAGGGAGGGAGGGAGGGAGGGAGGGAGGGAAGGAGAGAGATATACTACCCCGCATTAGAAACAAGAATCAATTTGCTTCTTTAAAAAAAATTTTTTCTTTTTAGATTTACTTATTTTATTTCATGTATATCAGTGTTTGCCTGCATGTATGTATGAGCGTCACATGTATGCCTGGTACCTGCAGAAGTCAGAAGAGAGCATTGAATTCCCTAGAACTGGAGTTACAGATAGTCATGTGGGTGCTGAGAGCTGAACCCGGGTCCTCTGTAAGTGCTGTTAACTGCTGGGCCATCTCTCCAGCCCTCCAGTTGTCTTTTTCCAGAGAAACAGGGCACTGACATGCACCGCAGAGACTGTATAAAGGTACCTAGTGCTCATATTACACTGTCCCTGACATCTGAGTATTTCCTTTGTCCCAGGCACACATAGGGTTCGTGTCTAATGAGTGTGATAGTTCTAGCACTTAGGATGAGGACTGTATTGGGAGGATGGGATGGCTTTAACTTTTTAACTTACACTTAGTTCTTAGGGGTAGGGACTGTCAGGGGCATTCATGCCGAGCATGCGTGTGGAGGTTGGAGGATAACACGTGGGAGTTGTTTCTCTCCTTCTACTGTGTGGGTCCTGGAGATGAAACTCGGGTGGTTATGCTC